GCTTTGTGCGTAAATAAAATGGCCCCGTCTGTGTAATATATTTTTAAACTTTTAGTTTAAAAATTATAAAAACTAGTATTGTTACAGTCTTTATTTTACAGTTAAAATATGTTTATCAAATAAAGTCTAATGTTACAACTAATCGGGGAGCCCTTTAACAATCAACATTTCTTTTTAGTTTTAAATTGAAGCCTTTATCACATTAGACTCAATGAGTAAAGCTGTATCTCTACATTAAAAAAAGTTTTCTCCTACAGACTCAAATCAAAACTGGAAGGATGCAGCCTAATAGGAAGTGATGCAGAAATAGTTTCAGGCAAGGCCTTGAAAACTAGGGATTCTAAGGGGGCCACAGCACTCCTTTGTGGATAAAAATACATAACATGTCAAACATAAAGTGGAAAGGATGAATGATTAAACAAATAAAAACTATTCTATTGATATGTGGGTTTAGAATCTAATTATATTTTATGATAATGTCTTCTTAAAATTTTGTTTAATCTGATCTCTGTTTAAGTTGTTCCAGCACTTTACCTGGTAATATAACAGATATCAAGTTTGCTCTGGCAAGAATAAATGTGACAGATGTAGATATAAAATTTGAATATGGTTTGTGTCGTGTTGCAAGAAAGATCTCTGTATCTGTGTCCTAATTTGTTTTGCCACGAGTCATACAAGGCAGCTTGTTTTAATTATGTTGCGCTTAAAGCCAATATTGGTAGGCTGTTATATTAAGCTCATTGATATGACTGTTTAGACTGGAATTTATTTTTTCTGACTAAGGTTTTTGTTAATGTATCTATCAGCATAAGTCAGGGATTTAAGTGCTTATTTAACCTATTAGTGTGCATGATGTTCCAGTGTCACTGTCATCATTAGATTGTTTGTTTACGGCTCACTGTGCAGACAAATGTGCACCTGATGCAACTTATTGTGACAGTACAAGCTTGTCTTCCAACTCTATTAATGCTAAATTGCTAGTTTGTGTTACTCTATGATGTGTTGTGTTCAAAAAGCACAAGTGTTAGTTGAACCTAAGCAGAAAAGAAACACACATCAACCTTAATGGTTAAGGGGCTTCACTGAGCTACATACTGTAATCAGACTTTTTCTTTCATTTTCCCCCTTCAGCATAGCTGGGAGATGATATAATGATAAAATCTCACATTGAAGCAACAGACAAATAGTGTAACATGCTATTATCTTCAAAAATGAACAAATAAATCATTTTTAACCGTCTGTTGAATACATTCAACAACGTAGACCTTTTCCTAAGGAAATGTCAGCAACAGCAATAACTCCGCAGGAAGCTCAATTCATTTGGAGTCAGGAAAAATATTTTACTGGTGTTTTATTGCTCTTTCATAGAGAGCATCATCGCATTCTCTATTATGTGCAAGATCATTGGACTACTTTTAAGGAACCTATTATCTTTACGTGATCAGAAAACAAGCTTAGCTCAGAAAATGATTCACATCCACTGTGCATTCGAGTGGCTGCCCCTCCCAACGTCAACTCCGATGCTGAAGGACACAGAGAAAGAGGGCCACCATTTTGGTGGGCACAGCTAACTAAAAAAAAAAAAAGTAGGTTAGCTAACCACCAATCCCTGAACAAGAATCTTAGCTTTGCTAACGCTAAAGTGCTAAATAGATTTTTTCAAAAATTGCTAACCGCTAAGTCAACTGTCACTCAGCCATCTTCATCTCCTTCCAGTTTAAGTTTTCTGTTGGTTTAATTGGAAAGTGGGTGGGATCATTAATGGTAAATCGGCCAATCCATCCCTCCATCTGTTTTCTTCTACTTATCCGGGGTCGGGTGGCGGAGAGAGCAGTCTAAGCGGACAGGCCCTCCTTCTCCCCAGCCACTTGGGCCAGCTCGTCTGGGGGAATCCCAAGGCGTCCCCAGGCCAGCCGAGAAACACAGTTCCCCCCAGGGTGTCCTGGGTCTTCCTCTGGGTCTCCTCCCAGTGGGACATGCCCAACACACCTCACCAGGGAGGAGTCCAGGAGGCATCCTAACCAGATGCCCGAGCCACCTCAACTGGCTCCTCTCGACGTGAAGAAGCAGTGACTCTACTCTGAGTCCCTCCTGGATGACCGAGCTTCTCACCCTATCTCTAAGGGAGAGCCCAGCCACCCTGTGGAGGAAACTCATTTCGGCCGCTTGTATCCGTAATCTTGTTCTTTCGGTCACTACCCAAAGCTTGTGACCACAGATGAGGGTAGGAACGTAGACTGACTGGTAAATCGAGAGCTTCGTCTTTTGACTCTGCTCTCTTCACCATGACAGACCGGTACAACACCCGCATCACTGCAGGCACAGCACCAATCCGCCTGTCGATCTCCCGCTCCGTTCTTCCCTCATTCATGAACAAGACCCCAAGATACTTAATCTCCTCCACTTGGGGCAGGACCTCCTCCCCGACCCGGAAAAGGCACCCTACCAGTTTCTGGCTGAAGACCATGGTCTCGGATTTGGAGCACTGATCCTCATCCTGGCCACTCCACACTCGGCTGCTAACTGCTCCAGTGAGAGCTGGAGATCAGGATCTGATGAAGACAATGGGAGCACATCATCCGCAAAAAGCAGAGACGTGATCCTAAGATCAACAAAACAGATCCCTTCAACACCTTGGCTGCACCTAGAAATTCTGTCCATAAAAATTACGAACAGAAAAGGGCAACCTTGACGGATTCCAACTCTCACCAGAAACAAGTCCGACTTATTACCGGCAAAAATAACTGGTTCGGCCAATCCGAACCAGAGTTAAAGCTCCGCCTAACGTGATACTTTAAGTTTATCCCTTTTAGAATAAAAGCCCTTCTTTGATAGCATTTGTATTTTTATAAATACAGTTTGAAGTTAGCCATACACAAATAATTTTTTTCAAAGTGGTTTGTTTATTTATTTATTACTACAAGATGAGCCTTGTTTGTTTTTAATGTTTGCAATGTGCTGCTTCTCTGTGGCTTTTTTAAATACCGCTCCGGGATAAATAAAGTTTTAGTAAATTGAATTGAARTGGCATACATTTGTCCACAGTGAGCATTAAACAAATAATCTAATGATGACAGTGACACCTGAACATCATGCACACTAATGGATTTGACAGGTACTTTAATCCCTGATTTATTCTGATTCATATATTAACAAAATAACAGACTGTTGTGAAATACTGAGAAAAAGTCAATTCCAATCCAGTCATATATGTGAGCTTGATATAAAATTCTGCAAATATTTGCTTTAAGCTCAACATAATTATTACAACAAGCTGTTTTGTGTGATAGCAAACAAACTGGGACACGGAAACAGAGATTTTTCATGCAAATCCACTTGAACCAAATTTTATATCTACATTTATATGACTTGATGCTCTGTCACACTATAATGTTTTAGACATGCAAACTTATGAAAAACATTTTTCAAATCTATTTATAATAAAAGTTATGTATTTGATCGATTTGTTAGAATCACAGTACATGTCTAAAAGAGGCTTCCAGTTGATTTTTTAAATACCATCTTCAATGTACGTAGATGTCTCCAAAATGTTCACAAGTTGGCATAAGTTGTCTAAAATGTTATAGTGTGACAAGGCCTTTAGTAACACCAGTTAAATAAATAATAATCCCACATCACCCTCATATGTTAATGGGTTAACTGAGCTACTTTATCAGAGTTTTTCTTTCATTTCTCTCCTTTCAGCATGGCTGAGAGATGACATAATGGTAAAATCCCAAATTAAAGCTCAGGCAACTCCTTACAAAGTAGATTACTGTTCTGTATGTGCCCCAGTACTTTATTTTTGGTTCCCATAAATAAAGCCATTTTGATTTTTGATTTTTTTTTTTATTCAGAAATACTTAATTCTTTTTAGGGTTTGTTGAGATGTTGTTTCCCTTGATATTAGGCCAGTACTGTAACATCAGTGGTTTCCTTCTATCCCCAATGGGTGATTAAGGGGGTTTTCCACCACCGTGACAATGTTGTGTAGGACAGTTGTAGGTTGGCTACAGTTGGCTGACACGAGGGACAAAAATGAGGGACACATCTTGACCGCTGTGCCCTGCCCTTACACAGACACACAAACACACACACACACACACAGACATGTATTCCCAATGACAAACCCATGTGGTGAACGCAAAGGGAAACTCCAAACCGTAAAGCTCAAACAATCATATCAAACAAATATCTAAACTCTTAAAAAACAGCAGCAAAAAAGCTTAGTGTGGAATGTTTTACAAGGTGGAGTTTAATGACTGTAATGGAATACTTTCCCTCTCATTCTGACTTCATTTTGAGGTAAATGGGGGCTTTTTGTGGTTTACCAGCTACTTACCAATGTTGGAAAACAACCCAGGAATTGCAGGTCTAGGCACAGAATGGCTTGTTACACATCTGGCCTCAAGTTTGTTTCTGTTTTTATTATCTGATTTGCAATCAGTGCTGCGGTCGGTGTGAGTGTGAACCAATCTGCAACACAGCATATCTGATCATCTTTTCACACCCAGCAGCACTGACACCTGTATCTCTCTTACCTCACGAGTCCTCAGCTGGAAGTTTTTTCCTTCATGATAACAGTTGTAGGTTCTCAGCAAAGACAGGATGTCAGACCTGAATGCAAGCGGAAAGGCAAAACCTTTTTTAAAAATACGCAAATTGACATTATTGTTCAACAACTCTAAACCGTGACTAAAATGGACTTACTTTGGTATTAGCTTCTCTTTGCTAAGCTTCACAGAGTTCTGACGTTCGCTCATTTTAACTAGGGGCCAGCTGCAGAAAATTAGACAAACAAAAAAATTTTTAAAAAATAAATTGTATTGCAATCGCACAAATTCAACAMGTAAATTAACGCCGTTTTACAGACWRGATGTATTTGCYCTYAACTGATTTGTGTTAAACTTTCCTTGAGGATCCTAGATGTTATTTTTTTTATAAATATGTAAACATGCTTTTTATGCTTATTAGTGTTTAGATATAGCAATCTTGGCTTTTATCCAGTGGACCTGTGACCTGGAAAAGTTAGACTTTGTTATGCGCATTTGTGATCAATTCTATACCAAATGGTCTATTTATGTTTGATGTCAACCTAATTCAACATGGCCATCACAGCAATCAACATTTAAGGGAATAGGTATTAAGTTAAATTTAGTGTGGTAGGAATTCTTAAGGCTTACACATTGTGCAACATTATATGAAACTGTGTATCATGTCATTTACAAGGTTTGATTGAAACATTGATTTCCCTCCCTTTTCAGCAGACAATGATGAATTTTAAAACTCTTGCATTGGGAGGTGGATTATATGCATTGCTTTGATAGGTTTTTATTAATGAAGATATCAAGTTAAACTTGACAGCAACAAAATAATTAGATATTTTTAGAGTCTTGGGGCCTTGATCTTAAATCTTAAAAAGCAAGTGGCCGACTAAAAGTTTTAAAAAGGAAGTCTGTGTGGAGAATAGGTTTAAAATGTATTTATTTGATGAGCAAAATGTGCATATCACATTATTCCTAGCTTTGTCTTTGTTCATTCTAAAAGAAACTGAAGATTTTAAGCTGTTGCTTTGACTTTACATGCAGGTGCAGGAATTAGAAGAAACCACATGAGGCTGTTGACACAGAGCCAACAGAGTGAAAGGAGTATCGAGTTGTGCCAGCTAGTTCAGTAAACAAAGCCCAGCGGGCAGAGTCTTTGTCGCATGTAAGGATACAGTTATTTATACAGTCACTGTAAGTTTTTATAGGATTATATAAAAGTATCACCACTTCAGTTAAATTTTACTAAACATAAAAAAGAAACCTTGTATGTTCACTGCTTTTTTGTCTATTGCACAGTGAAAAACACAAGAAACTCATTTTTTATTCAAGACAAAAATGAATTTGAAAAAAACATTTAAAAAAAGCTGTCCTTGATCCTTTGAATCCTGAATAGAGCAGGATAGAGCTCATGGGAAATTCCTAGATTTTTGGAAAACCCATCCCGAGTTGTGGGGGGAGGAGCATTAGCACAATATAAAAACAGCAGCATGTGGCTCCGAGGCTTAGAGCAAACGCACCACATGTCTCCAGCATGAAGCTTAATCTGCAGGTCGTCCATCGTTTCGCCTTCCTGGGCCTCTGCTGTGTACTGGCCACAGGTAGGAATCTGCTTTTTGAACAGCGTCCAAAKCAGGATCGTTGTTTTCTCTGAGGGGGTGGGGAAACTGAGATTGCAGTAAGCAAGTCCTCACTGAGTCTGTCGTGAATTAATCTGTAATCTCATTACTGTGTCTGTGCAGTGAGGGAGTCAGAGGGAGCGTACATTCCGGGAAGATGTTTGTGCCCACAAACGCAGGCGAGCATCAGGGGACAAATGAAGGAACTCCTAATCTATGAAAAAAGTGCCAACTGTAGCAACGTTACTGTTATGTGAGTAGCAGCTTCTGCAAACACACACACATGTTCTTGATGTGTTAGACTAAATGTGTTATTCCCACGTGCTTTTCAGAGTAACACTAATAAGGAACAACGCAGATGTGTGTCTGGATCCAGAGGCACCTTTGGGCAAACAGCTGATTCGCTGCTGGAATAGGTGAGACTCAGTTTATGACACTTACTAGAACACTAAGGCACACAAAGCTGTTAATTCTGTTTGGGTTTATTAAGATGACAATATTTAGTTTAGACAAAAAAAATAAAGTTCTGCATGACAATAGCTGTATGTATTATTTACCTTAAATGTCCAAACTAACTGTCAATGGGACCCACCCATCTCCAATTTCTCATAATTCACAATCAGGATCTTGTTTATTGCCAAACCAGTTCTTACAAAAACAGAGAACACAGCTGGGGCGATTTTCTTTTCTTTAATCGTAGATAAGCTGTTTTTTTTTAAGATCAAGTTTTTGATTTCTAAACTGTACCCTGGGAGCTCACTTTGCCCTTCTTTTGACATGTTCCTTAGAGCTACGAAGCTGGGTCGTGATGTGAAGCTGTGTCTTAAGAGGAGGAGGCGGAGAGGCGGTCGGCGCCAGAGGCAGCAAAAGAGGTCGCGGGGTCACAWCAGGAGAGCGTCCTCCTCAGACTCCCAGTAGTTCTGCAGGCTGACTAAACCTACTGTGTACAGACTGATTCTTGTTGCATGGTGGGCTGTTGTTGTAACTTCAGCCCACCAAGCATTGTGTTTCTTTCTACAAATATTATGAAGCTCAGATATCATGCTCCCTTTCATTTCATTCTGAGCTCCAAACGTCTTCAAGCAGCTGAAGTATTATATATATTTTTATATATATAATATTTTTATATATAAACTAGTGCAAATGAGGGATTTGCTTCCTAAAAACCTAAGCCCTGGTGGCTTTACATAAATGATGGCTTTAAAGTAAACATAATGGTTTCTTTGTCATGTGGTCATTGTACTGTTTCTGTGTAGTTCTGTCAAAACAGCTGGAAAACTATATCTGAGTAAAGCTTTGTCAGTTATTTATTTTTTTATGAAAACAAAAAATGTGTTTTTTTAAATAAATATATCAGAACAATGCTGTGACTGTTTCCTTTTTTGACTTAAGCTTTTGATGTRTGGACATAATTAAAGGAAGAGGAGAATAAGGCCCTTCTTGGCAGGATATGAAAGGTCACTTTTAGACTTTAGCCTCTGTTTGTGTTAAGGAGCTTCAGGAAATGAGTCAGCAGACTAAAACAGACACTTGAACTACATGCACAGTGTATTAAGCTACAACAAACGCTTTTATAAAGTCGCACCACAGTAAAAAAAAAAGTGAATGAAAAGTCAACAACTGTAATCTTTTTCTGCGGCTAAACTGGAGGCAATTATTAACGTACAACTGCAGTGATGTTTTATGGTTTTATGGGCTGTTGTTGCACATGGTTGTCTAAGATGAGCGGGGCATAAAACAATGAAAGTGTAATACGTTCGCTCATAAACGGTTGGCTGAGATTTCTTGTAAAGCATGTGATCAAACAGACAYAGCTGAAAACAAGCCCATACAGATAAAACGGTTCTCCTGATCTCTTTCCCACCAAACGCTTGACAGCCCATGAAAGTAAACTAGAAAGTGAAAGTYAAGTGTGCAACAGGGTGAGCTTTGTTAAGAGCTGGCAGAGGAATATCAGAGGAATTTGTCTGCAGTTATCGGTTATCGCGTTGGGTGGAGATGAGTGAAAGTCAAATATTTTTCTACGATGGTGGGTTTAAGGAGGGGAGATCCAAAACGTGACAAGATAATTCTTGCATTACTGAATGACTGCATGAAGAAAAATATATATATACTGTATAGCAGAAGAATAGAACTAAGTRGATTTATAAGTCAAACAGAAATAAACAAAATGCAATAATTTGCTAATCTAAAAGGATATCCATAATAAATCACAGTTAATATTGTGATATTGGAGATTTATTATTGGAGAAACACAAGGCCACACACCCGACATCTGTCCACTCACCTGAAAATAAATGGATACAAGAAAACATAGCAACAAAATACATATCCATATAACAATAAAATTAATTATAATTTCCCTGTAAAGCATGCATACATATATACATACACCCATACATACACATAGATATATACATACATACATGCATCCATTCATGCATTATAAAGATATAGACATATATACACACTCAGTGACTAGTCAGACCCCCCCAGATCAGAGCACCTGTTTGTGAGCGGTCGTGAGCATGCGTGTATATACAAGACTTCTCCAGTGGAATAGCATCTATAATTCATGATATCAAACATGACAAGAACCTGTTGAAATTTATGTGCACGAAACACAAGACCAAAAATCATTACAGGTTGCTCGTGATCTTCAGGCCCTCGAGCAGCACTGTGTTAAAAACAGGTTTTCAGCAACACTTCCCCTGATCATGTCTGTAAACACAGCTCAATGTTATTCACAGAATCTGATAAAAGCTCTTTCATGCAAAAAAGAAGCTGTACGAGAACAGTGTCAGAAGTATTTATTTACATTTATAACTTAAGAAGTATAGATAAGGTTCTAAAAGGGCYTATTATGCAAAATCAACTTTTTTGAGCTTTATATCCTGTTATGATGCCATTCCCTCAAAAACAAACCCAAAGTGTTGTTTTGACTCATTCATGCTTGTTTGAGAAATATTTGAATCTCCTGTAGCCATGTGCAACTGCCTAAARGCTTYCTGGTACAAAGCACCGCCTATTTATACAAAGCCCCTCCCTGGAGCTCAGTCTGCAGCTGAGCTCCCCTCCCCCGAACCATTGTTGTGAAGACGTGCTGAAGTGTGACATGGATCAGTCTCATACGGGTGTGATGGATCATAAACCAATAGGATGTCAGAATTGTATTTATTTATACTTCTTATCCAACCACAATCCAATTCATTCTATCTAGGAGGTGTCACATACCTGAACACACTGTTGTTGTTTTTCATGAACAATGACAAGCCGGAATGAAAACAAGCCGAAGTGAGATAGAAATTAAATGTGTTTTGCATTTTGAAAATGTAAAGCGTAGAAAGTGCAGACAGTTGCATGAAAATGTGGGGTAGAAGTAAAAATGTTGGCTGAAAAATAATTACTCCAGTAAAGTAGAAATAATCCAAATGTCTACTTAACTACAATAAAGTGTTTGCACTTCATTACTTAAAGGGGCTATATCATGCAAAATCAGCTTCTTTGAGTTTTATATCATGTTATAATGTTATCCTCTCATCAAAAACACTCCCAGAGTCTTGCTTTGACTCATTCATGCATGTTTGAGAAATCCTGTGCTGTCCTGAGGCAGCCAGGCAGGGGAGCAAAAACGACTGGTTGGGACTAGAACCGCCTTTTGGGACCAGCTCCGCCTCTGGGCTGTGTCTCCAAGCCAAGCTTCCTCCTCGGAGCACACCTCCCCATCCCCGCACCCCGCCCTGACTCCTGCAGGTTCTCGGCAGCAACAAAGCAAAAAAA